TGTAAACAAAATTTCGCAATTCTGGTTGGTTGATTTACACAAAAAAGTCACGTGGGTATATGGCTTTAGACGACCCCTTTTTTTAGCATTTTTGTGTTTCACAAATTTCAAATGATTGTATACAGTACTCTATATAGCGCAGGCGCTAGATATTTGCGCTTTCGAAGCACAGCACTAGTGAAATATGCACTCAAAAAAAATTTCACTTATGAATACCAGTTGGTTATATAATAAAACAAAAAAAAAAATTTTCGATTATTTAACAAAAAAGGTGATAACCCCTCAACCTGGAATTACGTATAAATACATTTATGACTAAAAAAAAGGAAAAATAGTAAACAGATCAACGCATAAAAGTGCATTAATTACTTCATTTGCATTTAATAATAGAGAACGACTATTTATATCATTATTTTTTGCTCTACTAACTAATAACAGTAATTAATTAAGAATTTTCAAGTCTACATTATTTCACCAAAACAAATAATTATTTCATTAATAAATCGAGAAAAATAAAAACCTATTATTACTTTTGATTTATTTAAAACATGCTTCCAAGAATTAGCCAGGTTCTTCATGGTTTTTTTTTGGTTATGTAGGAATCGCCATCACCAAAATCTCTGAAGACTAATGAAACTACCTTAATCGAACTAATTAAAAATAGTAAAACTATCGTTCTCACCATTTCCTGAAGATTCGAATTACTTTATTATAAATCGCATAAAGAGAACAATAATCGTTTGAATTAAATAACGTGATTAGTCGTTTCAAATTTTCAATTATAGTTCTTTTATACCCTGGTTAGTAATTTTAATCCCCTAACTAAATGCCAATGAATAGTACCCTATTTCTACCTTCTAAAATGTGTATAAGTATAATAAAAACTTCGTTTTATGATATTTTTCTACAGGTCATAATCTTTGATTATTCATAAGGCATATAAGACTTTGTAAATAAAGAAAACAGTCAATTGATTAGAAATAGAGATTAATAGTAAATTTATTGAATTAAAAATATTAATAATTACCGTAATAATGAAAATGTAAAATAAAGAAAAAATATAATCGAAGTAATAATAATAAAATAAAATAAATTATAAAAAAATAAAAATAAAAAAAAAGAAGTATAAAAATACCTTAGTTCAACATCCATCTCAGTTCGAAACGATTTCAAATTAACTATAACAAAGCAACAAAAAGGAAAATAATAACACTTTTTCTAACTAAAAAAACAAACATTAAAAAACGTAAAAAAAATTCACACAAAAAAATAAAACTAAAAAAAAAAAAAAATGACATCTATTTTCTGCGCTGTTTTTTTCATTAAAACTTTATCAGGAAATAATAAAGTTTGCAGTGTGACTGCCGTTTATAGAATCAGAACGAATGAATTTATTAAGTACAAATTCAAAGTGTTTCGATTTAGCAAAACGGCTCTTGTTGAGGAATTAACAAGACACAGTATATCTTTAATAGTCAGACGATTTGTTTTTAATAATAAGGATCTAAATATAATGAATAAAAAATTGTTAATATATATAACATTTGCACAAAACATTTAACTGAAATAATAAATAAACCACCCAAACTTCCTCACAGTCTAGCCTCTCTATAGTCACCCCTCTGACTACAAAGAACTTTGTTCTCATGAAATATACCCAAATAAAGGTTAATACTCTTAAAAGCATGACTATAAAAAGAAATAGGCGATTAAAAAATTAATATATGAATCTAGATATACTAATTTTTTTTTTTCTTTTATTTTTTCTTTTTTTTTACTCTTAAATAATCTAAGGTTGTAATAGAGCAAAATACTTCTCTCAACATTCAAATGATGGAAGACTTCCCAACCGTATTCAACCTCTCTGTATTTTCAGCATTTGGCGTTTTCATGGCCGCTGTACAAGATTCCAGTATCACAGATGGTAAAACTACCTTCTTTCACCTCAAAAGAGATGCCTATAACAGCGTAATGACATCCCAAGTTACTATATCAGTTTTATGTAAATATGACCCAAAAGGTCGCCACGTAAACGTTGCTAACACTACTAAATGTTAGCCAATAATCTTGGTTGCTGGGGAATTGGTGCTGTTAAAAAAATCGGTGTGCATTGCTTGTGAAGTTATCGAGTAGAGTTATCCTGGCCAAGGGTCCTCAAAATCTGGCGGGGATGCTTTCTTGTCGAAAAACAGAAAGTCTAGAAATGAAGAATTGGAAAAATTAGCAGAGAAACTCGACTCGCCTAACAAAACAAACAGAAAGAGTAAACAACCTATTAGTGAAGATGCTCAAGAGGAAAGCTCTTCTAGAGCCAAAAGGTTAAGAACTGTGGCTAATGATATTAATAAAAGTAATAAAATAAAATAATCTAAAATCTGATAAAAAAAAATACTCAGGGTGATACTTGAATTGTCAATGACATAAGTTATCTTCACCAATTAAGTAATGTGTATATTATTCTTTACATTCGAAGATTTAATAATATATTATTACCTAATTAGTAAAGTATTAGCAGCAATAACAGCATCACTAACTCTTTAGATATTTACCCTAATAAAACAATTAATGATCACTTTAATATAATAAAGGGTTAAAACAATAAACCATATATTCAAAAATTAAAAAAAATTCTTACTTTAATACTCACATTATCAGTTAAGTGCTACCAAGTAAAAACCCATCTATATTACAATATTTACTTAGTAGCACACAATATATTACACTTATATTAACTAACATGTTAAATAATTCAGGATATGAAAGTGCAGAAGCTAATTCTCAGCAGATAACCGAAAACGCAGAAGCAGATACTGACCCAGAACCTGAAAACGCAGTAGCTGAAACCCAGAATAGCACCACGGAACAAACTTTGAACGATGACCAAGATGACCAGAGCGTTTGCGAAGTAATTTCTAGTGATCAGGAAGACGAAGAGACGTCTGACAATGCGCACTCCCTTTAAATCTATGCAAATAGATTTGCTACAAGAAACAATTGTTAATACTAATTTTTTCCTCAATTCTATTGTTTTCTTTTCTCATCATTTTTTTTCCTTAAATTTTTCCTTCTTTAATTTTCCTCATTTTATTGATTTTTTTAATGTAATTTCTCCTGTTAATTAATATCATCAATAAACTTAGTAAAAATGTTTGCATTACCTCCTTAATCAATATTGAAAAAAAAAATATAAATAAAAATAAAAAATAATGCAGACTCTAGCTAATAAATTACACATAAGTTGCTGTTTCAATTTTATGCTATTTGAGACCCGTATTTTAAGACTACATGATAATTAGATCAAAAAATAAAAAAAATAAAAAAAAAATACCAAAATTAAAAATAAAATAAAATAAAAAAAGAATTATACTAGTATACAAACGCATTACCCTACCATATAAACCTTCGACTATGAAAAGAAACTCGAATTACGTTATTCATTGATATTCTATCCACGAATATGAAAGCAATGCCCCATCAAACTCGATTGAAACAAATCAAAATGGATTAAATATCACTGTTTTCCAATCTTATATTTTTCATAATGAAATAAATCAGATTGGCATAACTGAACCCACACCTACATTACAACTTAGTGCATCTACAATTCTACCTATAACTTTTCCACCATGGACACTATCATCCGCGTTAAAAAAACTTCTTCACGAATTCGAAACAAAAATATTGTATGATTATCCTCATATTCCATACTGCTACTGTTCAATTTTAATGTTCCATTCTGTGATCCAATGGATAACATATAACCCAGACGAAGACTATACTCTAACTATAGCATTTTCTGATATTCCCCTTAAACTACGTCACTTTACCAACAAACCCACCAAAGTGGCCATCTGCAATAGCTGTAAAAAACCAAAAACTAGAAAATTTCTACCGATTCTACCCAATATACCTAATGAAATAAATTTAGTGCTAATGTATCACAGAAAATATCTTTCCTCAATTCATATAACATGTTCATTGGGTTGCACTCCAGAATCAAATCTGTATACAATATATCGATTTCTGCAGGGCGATTTTTTTCTAAGTAAAAATAGTCATTTGCTCGATCTTTACTCTGGGATGATTGGTGCTGTTTTAAGCACTAATAAACCATCACGATGGTATTATGATACACTTTCTACTGCAAGCACTTGGTTAAAAATAAACAATCCTATATTTCAACAATACATGAATATACCTAGCATTGACTCGCCTTCACTATCAGATCCAATGCCGGTCTCCTTACCTTTAGCGCGACAATCTCAAGAAAACTCCAACAATATCCTAACTAGAAACGTATCTCATATCCCAGACATTGTAATCTCTAATAATGCATTTCCTTCAGAAACACACAACGAAGACCAAAGATATAAAAGACTCATAGCTGGATTCATAAAATTAGATGACTTAACTTTACCTATATCTTATTGCGATCCTGACCTAGAAGCAATGATTTTTCTCAATCTATTTCCAATAGGAAAAGGTCACTACGAAAATGTACGAGAACAATTAGACCTTCAATCAAATAACGAGAGCTACGGAAAATATATTAAACTAAGAATGCTCTGCCCCAACTCAAGATTCAGATTGCACTAGTACTGGCCGCACTGGTCCTACTTAAATCTTGAAAAAAAACGTAATTTTCAATATAGTTGTAGGTTATTGAAGCAAAAAAATATATCGCGAGAACATCATCTAACAAGAGTAAATCTTATAGGTATAATTTTAAGCATCTCTTTATTAACGCAAATTTCTATAAAAAACTTAAAACAAAAAATATTAATATAATATATCAAAAACATTCTGTACTTTTAGTTCAAACTAACACAAGTTAAAAAATCTACCAACCTGCCATAACTTTTATTAACATACCATTTTACAATGTTATTTAAAGATAAAAGTGTATATACTGGCCAACCTATAATCGACAAATCTAAAACTACCGCAGTTTGCTCAAGCCTAAGAACCGCAGCACCTTACTTCAAAAAAAAAAAATTTCAAGTAAATACGATGCTTCGATCATATGGATTACCCCAAATTTTTTACACTATGATGATGGCAGAAGATAAATAGACTCACCTTAAAGATATATTATTATCAACTGACAATGGTGACTCCTTGCCTACTAACCACCTGTTACATGTGTATACTCCCCTGACATTGATCACCGGAATTTTGATTTTCACGTTACCTAATGATGATTGTAGCCACATATGTAACTTAAT